AAAATAGTATTCAGAGAAAATATTTACTAATGATTCCTCATCAAACTGGAGACTGCATTGAGTGGATTGTCATAAGGTTCAATTCAAGTGTTGATTCTTCACTATAACTTTTTAACCAGAAGTGAAGGGCTGAAGAGATGGAATGCTAATCAGATTTGTAGATGATACAAAATGTATGTGATAGCTCAAGAGAAATAAAATTCAGTATGGCATTGATAAGCTAGAGAAATGGGCTGCAGATAATTATGAAATTCAACAAGAGACAAATGCATACTTAAGATAAAAAACCAAATGGACAGTGATAGGATTTATGTACCTGGCTTGCTAATAATGTTTATGAAAAAGATCTTAGAACAGTTGTTGACTGCTGTTACTTCTGAGGTGTGATGTGGCTACCCAAAAAAAAAAAAAAAAAGCAAATGTAATTTTAGGCTATATCAACATAAGCTCCGTTTCCAAATCTTGGAAAGTAATTTGCTTTATTCTGCATTATTTAGGCCTGTTTTTGAGGATTGGGTATTGCACCTCAAGAAGGATTCAGACAAATGAGCAGCTTCAGGGAGGGGTGATAAGGGTGACCAAGGACTAAGTACTGTGAAGAGAGAGTGAAATAATTGGGAATGTTTAGCCTTGAGAAGATCAAGAGGGATATGATAGGAGTTCTCAAATATCTGAAGAAATATTGGTCAGAAGATAGTCACTCCCTGTTCTGTATTGTTCCTAGAATTCCATACCACCAATAATGGATTTAAGCTACCAAAAGGCAAATTTTGAATGACTGTAAGAAAATGTTTTTTAACAATGTTTGGTTGTAGAACCAGTTACCTAGAGAAGTGGTGGATTCCCCTTCACTGGATGTATTCAGGTAAACAGTAAGCAACCATTTGCCACAGATGTTTCAATCTGGATTCCTGCATGTGGCACAAACTTGATCTTAATGGCTTTAAATGGCACCTTCCAGCAGTATGATTGTATAACTGAAAATAATTTCCCAGTGTCCATTTCTGTAGTCAGAACCTGACTAGTTAGCATCACCATTCTATTATCCTTCACAAGTTCCAGTAACTTAGAAAGAAGACATATTTACTTTAATTTGCAGTGTCATATATGATAAAGTGCCTGCTTGTTTTTGCTGTTATCATGACCAAAACAGACTTTACTGGTGCTTGTGTAGCATCAGCAACATTTCAAAAGAAGACATTTGTCACTCTGCAGCTGTTTAATGTGCACTTAAAGCATGGAAATATGACTAATGATCACTGCATAAATTGTAGAGTGCGGCATAATTTTAATATCTAAGGAAAGAAGCTGTAATTAGCACAGATGTTTAACAACCTAGTATTTGGCCACTAGCAACAGCTAGAGAGGGAGTATGACATGGGTAGACCCAGAGCTAATTTATATCAAGCTAACTTTAGATTACTGCTAAATGGGTATTGCTGTGTTTGGTGAAATTTATTGTGCAGGGGGGAAATAGTTCATCTATGAAGTAACTGAAATGTTAATTGTTTATCATAATGAAATTCAGCTTTAATTAAAAATACATTTATTCTTTATGCACCTAGCCAATAAAGATACAGCAGAAACAGTGTTGAATGTGAGATTGTAATAAGCCATTGAAAGCCAAGTTGGGTTCCCATTTTTCCAACTGCAGTTGTACCAGTAATTAAGCTTAAGCACATATAATTGAAAGAATGGCATGTTTCAAATTACTGTATCTGAGCTCCACAAATCCAGATAATAGTTAGATGGCAGTAAAGGAACTTGACCCCTTTGCTGCAACCAATAGGCATATTTTTATTTTTAAATACATTTATTTTTAATTAATTAATTTATTTTTCCCTTTTGTGTTAAATCTTGTATCAAAAGCTTCTGGGGCAGTGAGTTGTAAAGTACCATGTACAGTGACAGCAGGATATAAATAACGGTATAAATCAATGATCTAAAACATGATTCTTTTGAAACTACTATATGTTCCATGGATCTTCATGAACTTGATGGTGTTCCATATATTCACTGCCTTGAGTTATATATAAAAAAAGTGGGATACAATAATAATAAGAAACTAAGAACAACAAAAAAAAACTCAAAAAGGGCCATTTTTTAAAAATCACTAAGCTTTGCTCCTTGATCAGGGGTTCTAGGATTTTTTAACTAACAGTTTCCATGGCCTGAAAAAGTTTGAAAACCTCTACCTAAAGAAAGCAGATCTATCAATATTAACAATGAATTTGCTTACTTGCCTTTATCTTTAAGCAAAAAAAAAAAAAATGTAAATGTAAACTAAATGGCCTAATAACATTTATTCTCTTCTTGAAAGAGGTTCCAAACACTGATGTTCGCTTATAGTATAAGTCTTTTTTGGAAGAAATAGTCTTTGACTATATTTGGCTTAATAGGCTCTGTAGTAGTAATTTGAAAACCAGTATCATACAATTAAAAAAAAAAAAACTACAGCGTTCAAATGGTGTTGACCAAGATTGGAGAGAGGAACAGTCCATTGTACTCGCGTCCACATGGAGGTGGAATACAGTTCAGTGTGTTTCCTAAAATTGTAGCTTTGCTGATATGTTCTAGGACATAGGGATAGGAGATAAATGCTTTATATTGCTGCCTCCTTGGTTATCTATTGCTACTTGAGTGGGATACATTGGACAATTAAAAGCTCTCTTCTTCCAATTATTCTTCCAACATAGGTTTCTTCCTTGGGTGTTTTGACTTTGATCCATAAACTATTAAAGTGTCACTTGGCCAGATCCTGGTAGATATCCTCTTGAAGGATTTAATTTTGGATAAGTGTACCAAATCTGGCATGTATTATCAAGATCCATGCTGATAACTAAAGAAGAACTAATATTTTCTCTCATATTTCTCTCATATTTTTGCCTGTTGGTTTTCTTTAGTACCATCCCAGTTGACTGGGAATGGTTGACGTGGTCTGATTTATCATGATTCTCTTCTCTGTGCCAGAATACCCTGGCTAAAGATCTGCTCAGTGTATGTGCTTGAGCTTAGAACATGTCAGCACTGCAATCTGAACTGTTTGAATTGCTCTTAGAGGTTATATTGGGGCTTCCTAGACTGATTTCCTTGGGCTTAGAATTCTGTCTTAATCATTGCATCAGGATTTCATGGTCTCTCTGTTACCATGTCTCAGAAGGTATCTTTTACAGAGAAATGCATTGTATTTTTGATATGTATGTTTTGTTAAATTTTTTAAAAAGGCAAAGTTTACCTAAGAAGATTCTCTATCAGATAAATCTTTTAACTGGATGAAAGAAACATAGCCCTGCCAAGTAGTAAAATATCACCTACAGCTTGGTTCTCAAGTGGAATTGTGGTAATACTTGGTGGCACGTTTTACCCAAGTTTCAAGTGGATAAAAATCATAAGCATATGCTTCATTTTAGATTTTACGAATAAAGGGTAGGCATTAAATATGTCAGTAGCTCTTATCTGTTTTTAAGGATAATTTCCACATAGGCTGTATGAAGAACTCATGGGAGACCTTGACCTTTATATTTCCTCAGTTATTAGATGAGATTCTCTGATAAGGTTATAGATTTTCAGTGCCTGCTTGGAGGAATGTTTAATATATAGTGTATATATTATGTGATATTGGGTTTTCTTTGAAACTTTTAAGGGGTAAGATTAAGGCACCCATTTTGCATTTGAAGCCCTCACCAAGAGCCCTCACTTGCATAAGACTTTATGCAAAGACATAAAGGGTGAAAGCCTTGGTCTTGCCCGCTCTGTGGTGCTGTAAGAGCTATAAAGGGGACAATAGTGGGAATAAGAGACATACATGACGGAAATATTACCGTGTTGGTTTTCTTATGGCTGCTGTTAATGTGAGAATTATTTGAATCAAATCTGAAATGCAAATTAATGCATTACGAGGCCAAGTCTTGGTCTCTTCCAACAAAATTTAGATCACTAATCTTCTCTTTCCAAATGGAAGAAACAAAATATGTTCTGAACTACTGTTTATCATTTTAGCTTACTTTTATTTGACAAGAAATAGAGCAACAGAAAAGCTTCATTCAGAAAACATATGTGTACAAGTAGTTCTCGACTTACAATCATTCATTTAATGACAGTTCAAAGTTATGACAGCACTGAAAAAAGTGACTTATGACCAGTCCTCGCACTTATGACCTCTGCAACATCCCCACAGTCACATGATCAAAATTCAGGTGCTTGGCAACCAGCATGTATTTACAACAGTTGCAGCATCCCGGGGTCACATGATCACCAGTTGCGACCTTCCCAGGGAGCTTCTGACAAGCAAAGTCAATGGGGGAAGTTGGATTTGCGTAACAACCATGTGATTTGCTTAAAGACCGTGGCAAAAAAGATTGTAAAATCAGGTGCAACTCACTTAACGATTGCATCGCTTAGCAATGGAAGTTCCTGTCCCCAATTGTTGTCGTAAATCGGGGACTACCTGTATGAGGCTGCTGTTAAAGCCCTAAAGCAAGAGTGGTGATACCATGGGTCATTGTCCGGGTCAGGCTGCTATAACCTCCTAAAAGAGAAACGGGGCAGAGCTGGATTTGCTACTACTGAACGCAGTGATTTAATGAAACCTCCATAAGTAAAAGCAGAATGTCTCTGACCACCAGATGCAAGAGAAAAAGAATGACTTCTTGCCCTGCTTGTGAGTCTTGGAAAGCAATAGTTGCATTATGTCATGTAGCATTTATCCTTCAAACATAGAGGCTTGATAGACTTATGTGTTTGATTCTACCAATTTAGTTTGTCCCATGTTTACTTATTTTAAGGAAAAGATAAAGTTTGATTTGATTTGATTAGGTGCAGCCAAGAAGTTGGAGATACTGAGATTTAGACTCTTGATGGCCATTTAAAATATTTTTGGAATTTGATTTTTATTTGGATTTTTAGAATTCAGGTTTTCAAAATGCTAATCTTAGCGAACAACTTGATTTCCTATTAAGTTTTTTTCATGAGCTTGAGATAAACATGTTGTCATTAATACAGAATTTTTTGCATACCTACAGGCTCGGGTGATGTATGACTTTTCTGCTGAACCAGGAAATAATGAGCTAACAGTTAATGAAGGAGAAATAATTACAATTACTAATCCGGTAAGACACTTTCAGTAGATAATAATATGTACTAAATAATATGTACTAATCATCCTGAAATTTTAGTGAAGAAAATATTCAGTAATTTTATTGCAAAAACCTGAAAATCTAAAGAAACAGTATTTGCACATTTTTACTTTTTTCATGCAGACTAATAACAAAATGGGTTTTACTTCATACATATCTGACCATGGGTCTGTAATAAAATTTATTTGATTTGATTAAAAGGTCTACATATCTAAATGGGAGCCACAGATGCAGGTTTATATATTTAAATGGGAGCCACAAACTCCGCTGAGTTCACCGGGGCAATTTGTTTAACTATCTCTCAAAGTTGGAAGTATTTATTGTTAAATAGAATTAAGAAATAAAGAGAATTGGGTTATAACTGAATACCTGTACTTGGGAGTAAGTCACTGAAATTGGTGGGAATTATTACCAAGCAAGTATTGAGGCTATAATAAAAATCTGAAGTGTTCCATATTTTTTTCCCTCATTGGATTATTCATATTAAGAAAAATAAATAGAGGAGATGGTAAGAAAACAAGGAGTGCCACAAATAAAAGATGATAGTTTATGGATTTCCTATAAAATTCTGTAGGCAATTGCATAATGAAAGTAGTACCTGCAAGAACCATTAGGGTTATTGTTGATTGTACTTTTTTTTGTGTAATACTAATATTCTGGTCAGAATTAACTGTGAAAATATTGTTTGCTATGGGTATCCGTGAAATTAGCCCATAAAAGTAACCTGATTTTACTTCTGTGATGATTCTCAGAAAAAAAACTGAGAAAAATACCCTTATGCTTTTCAGGAAAGAAGAAACTAAAATAGGCTATTGAAGATATAACAGAATATGTAAAATACAGAGTATAATTATATATCTGAAAACTGAATGTATCATTTCTTAGCTTTATAGTTTAACTGCTAACACCCCATTTTTTGAATTATTTTAGGATGTAGGTGGAGGCTGGCTGGAAGGCAAAAACAGCCACGGAGAAAGAGGATTAGTTCCTACAGATTATGTTGAAGTAAGATATTATAATAAAACAATATTCATCAATATAAAAAATGTAGCTGCTATATAATATGTAAGTAGATTTATTGGCAGTATCATACTCAGTATTTTATAAGGTACAGAATTCAGTCATTATTTACACAAGACCAAACCACAAATGGTTGATGCCTTAATGGTAAGATCACATTCTCCCTGAAATAGAAGTTAGAAAGTAATAGTCCTCTCTAATTTATGGAGCACACACAAACAGAATGAGTCCATCGGTTTAGTAGAACTCTTTTCTGCATGTGGGTCTCTAGCTAGACTTTTGGTCAAAGAATCTGGTTTACATTTATTGATTAAGGAGATTAGAAAAGGCTAAACTGATTATGTGAGAGTTTCATATAGACATCTCATTTTTTATTCTTTCCAACTAAATGGAATGATGGAAATGTACTGTATAAAGACAGTTGCAACTCTCTGTCTACCCATGATTAATCTCCGAAGACTGAACAGAAGAAACAACCAAATTTGGTATGGGTAGAGAAGCCACCAAAAGAAACTTAACTTTTGAAGTTAGGCTGGATCAGGCTAGAGAGAAAGAAAATCCATAAAAATTTCTCCAGTGCATCCATGTGGGAGAAGCAGTTGGTTAGCCGCTTGGAATGTTGCCAACCCCTCCATTTTAAGTGCCCCTCTGTCCTGGTCATATGACCCAGACAGCAGCTAGTGTTAAGTGGTTGGAAAAAATCCAGAAAACATATTCTGCATGCTTTTCCTACTTTGTTATTTTTTTTCCCAAGCCAACAGAATGTTGGAAAGAGATTAGGTGAAGGGGATCAAGACTCTGTTTATAGCATGATAACTCTCCAAAAATGGAACATAACAGGATCAAATTTGGCACAGGAGAAAAGATGGTAAAAGAAAGATTGAGTGCAAAAATGGGCTAGATCAGGCAGCGAGAAAAGTTCCAGGGAAAAAAAATTCTCAGTGCATCATGAGAGAGGTAGTTGTGCAATGATTCAGATGACTCTTCCATTCTAAGCCCCTCCAGTCACATGACCCACAGTGGAATGTATATAGTTCACCCTGGGCTTTTCCAATGCACGTGCACGCACAGATGCAACAGAAAAGGAAAGCAGAAACAGACGTTCATATGGAGAGATGCAGCACATTACTTAGTTATACAGAAACAAATACAGATGTCTTCTATGGGTACTGCTGGATTTAAAAAAAAAAATCAGAAGCCATGCTCTGCATGTTTTTCCTAATTTGTACTGGTCTGTTTCCTTCTTGTACTCAGAGCATGTAAATATCTTTTTAAAATAAAATGGTAAACCTTTTTAAAAAAAAAAATTGATTAAGTCATTACATTAGATACTCGTTTTAAATTGGGAAGGTATAGTCCTGAATTTTTGTGTTGTCTAAAGTTCAAAACTAGATCTTCAATAGAAATTGTTATCTTTGATTTTAAAAATGTTTTTTCAGCAATCTTCTGTTTTTCAGATTATACATGAAAGCACCAAGGATGGAATTTTGGTAGCTGATCAAGCCTTTTTTGACTGCTTCTCCTCAAATGCTTCACAGATGAATACGCAAGCTGTAAAAAACAATAGCCAAGTAGGCATTTTTAATAGTATTCTTGAATGCTAGAAGCATGGTGAATTGTGTAGAATGAAAGAAGCTTAATGAAGCCTCTTGAAGTGAGTTATCAAAGCAAGCATGGAATTATCTTTCCTAATATGAAAGATACATATATATTTGATCTGGGCTGCTAATACACCTTCTCTTGTGAACAGCCCCAGGTTATGAAAAGAATTGATATTTTCGTTTTTCCCTTTTAATTTTATTTTACTTTTTTGTGTGTGAATGGGCACCTAATGGTTAGGAAGCAGGCTCATTTCTTTTATTATTTTGTTTCCAATGCATGCAATTGGAAGTGAATGTAACTGGATGAACCTATAAACACTAGGGCTACATGTTTCTCTGACCACATTTTTGCAGTCTCTGTAGAATTCTGACCAGCATGCTGAAATTCAGCAGCACTATTAATGAAAAAAAAAGAGGTTTCTCATAATTTAAAGGGGGGAAACAATTTAAGCCCTAAAATAGGCTTAAAACAGTTTTTGCAATGAATTAAAAATACAACCTCACAAGACCATGAATAAAGAAATTTAAATTTTAATCCCATAGAACATAAAAAAAAAAATCCTACATGCATGATGAAAAATTAAGTGTGCCCTTCCTGTCTCTGATTTATATGAATTAGATAGCTTTTCATGAATACTCTGACACTTTATATTAGTTTCTCTGTGCCTCCAAAGGTTAAATCAAAGTTTTTCACTGGTTTAGTTGCTAATGCATAGCTAATGCATTTTATTATTATGCAGGTAGAAGTTTCTTACTCTTTTTCGAAATCTGATCTCAGATCTCATCTCAGAATGATTCGATCAGTAGTAATTGATTTGGTTGTATATCAGTGTATTTAATTAAAGCTTCCTCATCAGAAGCTTAAAAGTGGCTTGTTAGGTTTTGCAAAGGGTTATAACAAGTTACCTAGTTGTGATATAGGTGTGCTATAGCTAAATTATCAATTGTAGTTTTCTCAGCCCATAATTGGGTTAGTTCTTTCTGCTATATTTCTCTTCTTACTTAGCCTGCATTCCACCTATCCCTGAAGTCCATGTACTTCTTGGTTTCTTTAGAAAAAGCTTTCTGACCATTTTGGTGTTCGTCAATTCATCACTCATTAAGGCCCACAAGTTTCTCTATATAAGTCTAGCCCCATCAGCAATATCATGCACACTCCAGGATGTCCACAAAACATGGATATTTGAAACATGTAAATGTGTGGATTTTGAAGGGAGAACAGACCTATGGTATGTGTATAATGTTAAGGACCAGACTGACTGTGACCTTCACATAAAGAATATGTGAATTATAGTAAGTAGGAACTTTAGAATGTTGCAAAACCCCACATAAGCTCAGCTAGTGAGTCCCTTCAGAGGGAGAGATAGCTCGTTATTTCAAGTAAATACTCCTCATGCTATGTACTCTTTTTTGTTCATTTTCTTCCCATTTTTCTTTCCCTGATACTACCTTCTAGCTCTTTTCCTTGTTTTGTTTGCCTTATTTAAGGAATTGTTCATAAGTTTGAGAGGTTATGTTGCATTAAAAAGCACTTAAGATGCTGACCTACATAACCTTGTCTCTCTGGATCACTAATTTTTCCAAGTTCCAGTAGTCCCTATGCCTTTCGAAATCTCCAGATTCCTTCTCTTGCCTGCAATGCCTTTTAGTCCTAGTGGTGGACAGAAACTGTATAGGTTCAAAAGGTTCATCCAGTAGCAGCCAAAGAACATTTAGGCTATTTAACAAGTCATTATAAAAGCTTTTCATCCGCTTTCACATTTCCCTTTACTGCATATTGCAATGTAGATTTGGATCTGTACAGGTTTTATTTCACAATATTTAAATCTTTGTAGTCCATAGGTCAAGAGCTGAATGATTATTTTTCTTCTTTTCAAGGATCGATGTTCAAAGGTCTCAGCACTAAAAAGAAATATTCAATTAGGTACATATGGTAGTGGATTTCATTAATAATTGAAAAGTGTTTTTGAAACTTCTGAATTTTACTGCAAGGATTAAAAACCCTATAAAATTATAAACTGTACTTTTGTTTATGAAAACAGATTCATTGCTTTTTTTTTGCATTTGTAAATATAAATCTATTTACCCTTGCAAACAGGAAAAGCAAAAAAAAGTAGTGATTAAATACAGCAGTACAGTAATACAGAATGATCAAATCACTTGATAGCTCAATTTGTTTTGTGTTTTTGATTTTATGGCAGGCAAAAGCGTAATCAGCAACCATTTTATTAGTACAGGTACGGAATAAGATTTGTTCAAATCACTGTGTGTCCATGAAAATTTCTTAGCAATTTGCTACCACATGGGAAATAGGCTAGGTTTATTTGAAGGTCAGTGATGAAGGATGAAATACCATACCTTGTATTCTTAACTATCTTATAAATATAGTAAAGAGAAGTTTCTTCTTGTATTTAATGTTAAGAGCTACTTAAAGTGTGCCTAGTGAGATGGCTGTCATGAATGTTTATGTTATAATACAAATTATTTTTGATACTGTCATACAGTTATTACAAAGTAATGAAAAATAACAACTGAATTAAAATCCCCTTTAGGCTTGTAGAAGTAATTCAGTGTGGTTTAAATTGTTGTCTGCATTTCTTTTCTTTTTTTTTAATTATATCCCAGAGAAGTCTGGCTGTAGCTTAGTAAAATTTATTATTACAGATACATGATCTTCTTTAATTGCATGGTTTTATAGTAGTTCTCAGGTGATCCTTGACTATTTTGGCTTCCACAAGACATTCTCATTCCACAACACATTCTGATTCTATGTCAGTTTTGCAGTTCAACAAGGAAACCATTGCTTGAGATGCAAAGCCAGCTGGGTGATCTTGGGCAATCATTCTCTCTCAATCCTAGGAAGGAGGCAGTGGCAAACCACTTCTGAAAATCTTGCCAAGGGAACTGTAGGGACTAGTCTAGGCAGTTGCTAGAAGTCAATACTGACTCGACGGCACCAAAAAAAAAAAGGGGGCATGATAATCAGAAAAATCCAGGGTGGATTCAGATTCATACTTAATATGAATTGGAATGCTTGAGAATTTAATTAATTAAATGCTGCAGGATTTATTAATTACACATTACTTTGGAAGTAAAACAAGCTTAACTTCAGAAATAGATTATTTTTATTATTCTTTTGATATTATCCTTATTTAACATTAGATTGATTCCTAATAAAGCTGAAAGAGGGCATTCTTGCTTGGTGTTCACTTTACATGTATAAGCCTGATTTAGTTGTTTATAGCCACAGTAAGGCCATGATTTGAAAAATGTGTTCGGTCACATTGCACGTAATTTCTCAGTAACTCTGCTTTGTCTTTTCATAGTTAAAACAATAAGGATGTATAGCTCTGATTCTAGGTAGGTTTTTGATAGCGTCTAATGTTATATGCAGTTCTACTTCATTCTGATTGATTTATTTTTCTCTGTGTGTGTTTGTGTGTATATATACACACATATTTGTCATTGTTTGCTCCAAGTTTTTCAGCTGAAACAAGCTAGTCTAGCAAATAAAATAATATATATAATTTATAAAATGGCTGAAGTTTTGCTTTGTTTGGGAATATAGAATTTTCCTCCTTGATATTCTATAAATGGTTTTTAAAATGTTTTAAATGAGCATTTTGTTTCTATTGGTTTATTGTACTAAATTGTTGAAGCCCATGGCATTCATATGTAGTTCCTACATGTAGAGAAACCTGATAAGGGTCAGCTGAATTCCAGTTTCTCTCCTTCTCACTTATTACTCAGATAACTTGCAAGACACTGAAATAGCAGAGAATTAGATTAAAAGAGATTTTATTCATTTACTTATTTATGTATTTATTGATTTATATTTCACATTTGTCATTGCCCATCTCCCTGGAAGCGACTCTAGGGAGAGATGCTTAGAGAACACCTATTTCTTCTCTATGTCCTGTCAATTGTCTCTGCAGACATAACGGGGATGACAAATGTATTGAGACCTATTGTATTACTCTGTAAGTAGGTAACATATATAAGCTAATTGTTGCAGCACTCTACTTAAAGTTAATAGTTCACAAAAAGATGTAATTACTAGACAAGGAAATTATTTTATTGGTAAGCTGTTTTTCTTTTTAATCTATTAATATTTTAAATACGTTCAGGTATAAAAACTATGGAATATGTTGCAATTTGCCTGCAAGGATGAGTGTGCTTAGGCCTAAAACATGGTTGTATTCATAATTCCGTTGACTCTTCTAAAGATTTCTTGTTTAATCCATTTTACCACTTTGAATTTAAAAAAAAAAATTCCATCAACATCCTTCTACATTTTCTCTGCCTCTTTATTCCTTGCTGTCTTTGACTACATTCTTTGCAATCATATGTGTAACTCCATACACATATGCTATCTTTCACTTATCCTGAATTTTTGCAGCAATAATTCTTTATATCATTTTTCTCATCCACATCTTCTTTCACTTCATTCCATCAAACATCCTTTTTCTTAGTCCCATTAGCATAATTACATACACGTTTGTAGCACACTGTACCATTATTCTTTTCACACTGTTACAAACAGTTTTCACATTTTTTTCTTTATGTCTACTTTTCATTCTTTCTTTTGGGAGAATATTTTTTAAATACTTTTTTTTTATAGGACTTATACTTTCTCTTCCTGTAGCCATTCTGCTTTTAATCCTGGTTTGTCACTTCTTTCTATTTTTTTCCATGACCAATTTTTCCCAGATCCACTCTTGACATTATCAAAAACATGGTCTGCCCCCTATTCAGAAATTCTCATCATCCTTGTATCCATCACTAATTATCTCATAAAGCATAAAATAAGCCATCCTTTTAAATCTATACTTATTTCTTGGCCATAGGTATGTATAAATAGATCTATGCTTAAACCATGTACTTGAAACAAATATTTTTCTGAGCAGATAGTTTTCATTCTCATTAATTGCTGAGTCTCCAAATGGTCCAATCATTTTCTGTACTCTCTT